AATTATATATTTAATTAATTAATTAAAATTATTATATTTAAATTGAAAAATGTTATTGTAATAAAAATATATATGACTTATTTAAATTAATTTCTAATAATTTATTTAAATCTGCTTGTGATTCTTCGTGCTTGCACATTACGCGATAAGTTACTCCACGGCATGCTAATGCTTCTGCATTATTTGGATTAATTTCTAATAATCTAGTTAAATCTGCTAACGATTCTTCGTATCTGTTCATCATGCTATAAATTGCTCCACGCTCACTTAATGCGTCTTCATCGTTTGGATTAGTTTCTAATAACATATTTAAATCAGCCAGTGATTCTTCGTATCTGTTCATCATGCGATAAGTTATTCCACGCTGCTTTAATGCTTCCACATTATTTGGACGAATCTCTAATGATTTATTTAGATTTGATAATGATTCTTCGTATCTGTTCATCATACGATAAGTTACTCCACGCTCACTTAATGCATCAGCATCATCTGAGCTAATTGCTAATGATTTATTTAAATCTTTTAGTGATTTTTCGTATCTGCTCATCGCGCGATAAGTTACTCCACGCTGTCTTAATGCAAATGTATTACTTGGATTAATTTCTAATGCCTTATTTAAATCAGATAACGATTCTTCGTATATGTTCAACTTGCGATAAGTTACTCCACGTTGCTTTAATGCCTCTATATTATTTGGATGAATTTCTAGCGATTTATTTAAATCTGCTAGTGATTCTTCGTATCTATTCATCATTAGATAAGTTGCTCCACGGTATGCCAATGTTTCTGCATTATTTGGATTAATTTTTAATGATTTATTTAAATCTGCTAGTGATTCTTCGTATCTGTCCATCATGCGATAAGTTTCTCCACGGTTTGCTAATGCAAATGCATTATTTGGATTAATTTCTAATGATTGATTTAAATCTGCCAGTGATTCTTCGCATCTATTCATTAGATAAAAGATTACACCACGGGATCTTAATGCAAATGCATTCTTAGGATTAACTTCTAATGATTTATTTAAATCTGCTAGTGATTCTTCGTATTTTTTCATCATAAAATAAGCTATTCCACGGGTTTCTAATGCAAATGTATTATTTGGATTAACTTCTAATGGATTATTTAAATCTGTTTCTGCACAATTTGGATTAATTTGTAATAATGAATCAAAATCTGCTAGTGAGTTTTCAAATCTATTCATCTTAAAATATGTTATGCCACGGTTTATTATTACAAATACATTATTATATGAATTATTCATTAATGAAGAACTTAAATTTGCTAATGATTCGTCGTATTTATTCATCATAAGATACGTTACTCCACGATATGCTAATGCTTCTGCATTATTTGGATTAATTTTTAATGATTTATTTAAATCTGCTAGTGCTTCTTCGTATCTGTTCATCATGAGATACGTTGTTCCGCGTTCAACTAATGCGTTTGCATAATTTGGACTAATTTCTAATGATTTATTGAAATCTGATAGTGATTTCTCGTATTTGTTCATCCTGAAATATGTTGATCCACGGTTTTTTAATGCAAATGCATCATTTAGATTAATTTCCAATGATTTATTTAAATCTGCTAGTGATTCTTCGTATCTATTCATCTTAAAATATGTTGCACCACGGTATGCTAATGCTTTTGCATTATATGGATTAATTTCTAATGATTTATTTAGATCTTTTAGTGACTCTTCATATCTGCTCACCATAAAATAATTTGCACCACGCTCATATAATGCGTCTGCATCGTCTGGATTAGTTTCTAATGACTTATTTAAATCAGCTAGTGCTTCTTTGTATCTTTTCATCATACGATAAGTTACTCCGCGCTGCTTTAATACTTCTACATTATTTGAACAAATTTTTAATGATTTATTTAAATCTGCTAGTGAGTCTTCGCATCTGTTCATCATACGATAAGTTACTCCACGCTGCATTAATGCAAACGTATTATTTGGATCAAATGCTAACGATTTATTTAAATCTGCTAATGATTCTTCGTATCGATTCTGTATGCGATAAATTGCTCCACGATAACTTAGTGCTTCTGCACTATTCGGATTGATTATTAATGATTTGTTTAAATCTGTTAGTGATTCTTCGTATCTGTCCATTATGTAATAAATTATTCCACGATATGCTAATGCATCTGCATCATTTAAATTAATTTTTAATGTTTTATTTAAATCTGTTAGTGAATCTTCATATTTTTCTAAATTATTGTATTCTATTCCTATATTAACACTTTTTTCATTGTGAATAATC